TCTCTCGCGCCCCTGCGGCCGGCCCCGCGAGTGCGAGAGAGAGCGAGAGAGAGCCGTTCGGAGCGAGTGGCGAATGAATGGCGGCGCTAGCGCGGCCGGTGGCGGCGCGAGTCGAGTCCAGGGTCGACGGCGTGCTGCTCACGTGCAGGAAACTGCGGACTGAACGGCAGAGAGACCGACTCCGAGAGTCGCTTTCGTCGCTCTGTCTCTGTCGCACCCGTAGGGAAGTCCTCGCGAGTGCGAGGCAGACAGAGCGACGGAAACGACTCTCGGAATCGGTCTGAAGGAGGACGCGTTGCTTCGCGTTGCCGAGCGCCGCTTCTGTCCACTAACGCGAATGCCGCCGATAAAGTTCGGAATGAATCGAAGACGCCAAGGCTGTGCGCCTGATGGATGTTCCAGCGGCGGCACTTCCAGAAGTGAGTGAGAGAGATGCTTCCAGTAAACGTCCGCGCAGTGCGCGCAGTCCGTGCAGACGGACAGGGGTCGACGCCGGCGAGCCGGTGGTGGTTGCGCAACGCTTGGCGAAAATTTGCAAGCCGACGCACGCGGGGGGTGGTAGTGACGGCGACTCCTGCGCAGCGTAAGCGTTCTATAAATACCAAGCCTAATGCCCGTCGAGGCGGGCCACTCTCTTGCTCTTGGGTGGGTCCGAAAACAAGCTTCTGTCGGCTGGGTTCGCTGGGTTTCAGACAGTTCCGGTGAGCGCTTGTTTGACGCATGCTAGTGTCTCCTCTGGACCACAAATGGCAAAAAACAGCGAGAATTTCGGCCCGGGCCTTTAGGAAACATATTTATGGTTAATTATTTGCTGACAGTGCGCTCCTTTCCAGAGGGAGTCGAGTCGAATCCATAACGACGCGGGCTGTGGAGGCCGCAACAAAGGACCCGGCCGCAGGGGGTGGACAGGTGTGAAATCATCCCTCCAGCCCCCCTCCCCCTGCACCGCCCTGCACTGGATGGACGGGCTGATTCGCAGGGAAGAGAGGAGAGAAATTCCCGCGCATCAATTTATACAGTGGGGCTGCGATAGACGAGCGCCATCGCCAATCAGAGCCTGTCAAAACGGCAAGCGGAACCTGTTGCGGTGGGCGGTTGGGGGATGATCCCGGAGCACCTATTTCTCTACCTATCTCTCTATTTCTCTCTGATCTCTTTTCCCCTCTCTTCTCACTATCTCTCTATTTCTCTCCCTCCTCTCTCCACCTGCACATCGCATTACCACCACACTGTTCTAGCTGGCGGCCCGCTGCTAGCCGGTCCCGGCGGTCCCGGCCGCATTTTCCAGCGGAGTGACAGCGCCAAGTCTAATTACAAATGGCCGCGGCGGCCGGCAGAACCAGCGCGCGTCCGTGCGTGCGACCACACTGGTTTTCGGTATGCAAAACCAGCCGGCGAAAGACTCGGGCAGACGGCGCGCGCCGACGTGTTTTCCTGGAAACCAGGAGGGGGGCGGGCCGGAGTGCCAGAGCGCCTAATTTGAAAAGCGTTTGGCAAATCGCTCTGCTTCGCGCGCTTCGCGCCCCAAATCGCGTCGTTATTTTGACGCGGACGCCACGCCGAGCGGTCCGGCACCGTCGGCCTTTCCTTCGGCCCTTCGAGGCCCTCGCGTCCGTGTTCCCAGAAGGGCCATAACTCTCGCGTCATTTTTAGTGTCCCAAAAAGGCGGAGGGCGCAGGTCAGCCGGAGAGGGCGCGCAGGTCGAGCCCAGCTAGGGACGTGGGACCGGTGAGAACGCCCCCATAACGCCCCCCCCCCCACACACACACACAAACGAAGCCGCCCACAAAAGCGCGTATCGTTTTTCACTGAATCGGCCCGGCCTCCCCCGCCGAAGTACGTAAAGGGATTCCGAGTTTTGACGCAATTTCTCCCCCAGCTGTGCCGCCAGGGGGTGGCGCGCTGGTGGCGCCCCTGCCGGAACTCTCGGGTAACTCCCGCCACGGCGAGCACCCCGACGGCAAGCACCTGCAGACGCAAGGCACGCAATCGGCTGCAACAGCAGCTGGGAGAAAAGGGCGCACTCTACCCCTCTCTCTAAACGCACTGCTTTCGAACAAAAGGCCTTCCGGGGGTAGAGAGAAAAACATCCTAGGTGCTTGCCCTCTACCTGCAGTGCCCCATCAGAGCAGAGGGGCCCCCGAGGCGCACGCACGATAACAGCCTCTTTCTTGTTTACTCTCCTGAGCCGCGTCGCCGCCGCGTTCTAGCGCGTCTAGCAGGGCGTCGTCTCCTTATCGCCGGCAGGGCTATCGCGGGGACGGCCTGCACGCCCTGCTCCGCCCTGCTCTGCTCGTCCACGGGACGGAATGTCACGACTTATCGCGAGCCAGCAGACTGATCACCTTGCCGGCGGAGCTACCGCGCACACGCACACACACGCACGCACGCACGCACGTGAGGTCGCCGGGAGGACATGATGAGCCTGCTGCCGGCGGTCCGGGTCAGACCTCGCCGTCGTGGAACACGCACTCCTTGATGTCTATTTCGGAGCCGACGACCGCCCACGCCCACCGCGGCGACGGCGACGTGTCGCCGACGCGGCCCCGCATCTGCCACGACGGCCACCTCGAGTTGCGCGGGTCTTGCCCGGCGACCGCCGCGAACGAGCCGCCGTGCGGGTATACGCGGGGGCCTCGGCGGGGGCGGCGGCGGCGGCGGAGGGGAGGGGGAGAGGGGGGGGGAGGGGTAGCAGGACCTGTCCGATTCGGGGCGATCGGTCCTGGAAAGGCAAAGACAAGGCGGATCAAGGTGGCGGCCGGGCAGCACTGCCTGCCGCTCTGTCTCTCTCGCACCCTCGCGGGACGCCCCACGAGTGCGAGAGAGACAGGGCGACGACGAAAGCAGAGCGCGGCATCAGCCTGCAGGCGCGACTCTGCCCGGCTTGGCAGGACTTGCGATGGACACTGCGTTCCCACACACGGGTCCTGCAGGCCTGCCGGCCGGAGTGGAGGACAAGACAAACCCGCCGCAGCACTCGTCGAGCCGCGGTCTGGAACGCGCAAACGCACGCCCAGCCAAATTCGCAGAAAGTGCCCTCACTAATTTTTATTAATTGTGTGGCCGTTTTTGACGGCGGTCCGCGGCGACGGCCACGGAATGCCGCGCCGTCCTCGGGTGGGCCTCCAGGGCCTCCACGGCCTCCAGGGCCTCCGAGGGGGCGGGGGGCGTCGGGCATTCCTCAAACAACGTCCAGGAGGAGGACGGACTGACTCCCAAAGCCCGGCGACGACGACAAACGCGGCGCGGCGCACAGTGGGCCAGAAGACCGGCGGAGGCGGCAAAAAGTCTAGACGCGTTTTGAGCTCCAGAGTCGCTAAATGGGACTCCAATCGAGCGTGTGACCCCACCAATGGATTCCTCCTTCGGAGATCAATCCACTGGTGGGGTCACACGTTCGGTTCAAGTCCCATTGAGTCACTCTGGAGCTCAAAACGCGTCTTGAATTTTGGCCGCTCCACCGGTCTTCTGGCCCACTGTGCGGCGGGCCGAAACCAAAAGCAAACATTTTGGAAGCTGGCGCGGTCCTCTCTGGCCACTGAGGTGTCCACTCTGGCCTCGACGTGTCCTCTCTGGTGTGCCCTGCGCCGTCACCGCGGCCGGGACCACCGGCACCACCCCGACATGACTATTTGTAGGCGATTGCGACTCCGCGTCCAGAGTGATGGATCACCCCATCACTCCGATGGCTGCGGCGGGCTGCGGCCCGCGGCTCGACTGAGCGAGCCCCACCACACTGTGATTGGCTGCGAGGCTAGTTTGCCTTGTCGCGTTGCGCGGCGTTGCGTGTGCGAAACATCGTCAAGACCTGGCCAAAATCAGCACCAGTCGTTCTGCAGAACTTGTCTGTCGGCGCGGCCGAACCTGGGCGGGGTCACCGCCGTGCCGCCGTGCTGCCACAGGCTAAAGTTTCAGCGATGGGCCAGTGTGGGGGACAAAGTTTCGCCGCCTGCAGGAGCCTTCCCTGGAACTCCCTGGAAGGGTTGCTTCGATCTTCCATGTCTTCGACGGACGACTTCGCAGCACTGCCATCGACCACCATCGCGCGTCGCAGCGTCGCGCAGTGCACTCACCTGCAACAGGCAAAACGACAAAACCATTAGAAGAAAACGAGACTGGACAATATAACGAGATGCCTCCTCTCTCTCTCTCTCTCTCTCTCTCTCTCTCTCTCTCTCTCTCTCTCTCCTCCGCAGCGTGCCGCAAGCCTTTTCTCTTTCCCCGTCGTAAAATAACTAATTGATTCCCATATAGCGCGATGCGATGCGCGATGACTGTCTTCCTTTTTTCCGGCCCGGGCCGTCCCTTCCCTTCGCAGTGCAGTGCCTCGCTACTTCTGATTTAGACATGCCGCGACCGCCGGAATCGTCAGGACGGAACGACGCGACGAATAAAGGGGTACGGATCGCGAGGCGGAGGAGGGGAGGGGGAGGGGGGAGGGGAGGGGAGGGGGAGGGGGGAGGGGACGGGGAAGGGGAAAGTACCTCGCGAGGGGCCGAGAGGAGGCAGGCCGAGCAAAAAGCCGGCAGCTAATTATCAGATGACAATAAAAGCCCAATGAAGCCGCAGCGGCGGGCTGATTCCGAACAACATTCGCATCGCTCCGTCTCTCTCTCTCTCTCGCACTCGCCATGGGACTGTCCGCCCCGCGCGGGGCGTGCGAGAGAGACGGAGCGACGGAGCCCCGCGTGCGAAACGAGCCGCGATCCTCGGCGAGCCGCGGCCGCCACCACGCGGACGCTGCGGAACGCTACGAACGTACTCGCACCGCGACGCTTTATGGTGTAGCAGCGTAATGATATGCGCTCGGCCCTTCATTTTACTATAACGCGTAACTAGCGCTAATGGGCTCCGGTATTGGTCGCTGTCTCTCTCGCACCCGTACGGCACAGCCCCACGAGTGCGACGGAGACAGACGCTGTGACCGCGGACCAGTGCGTGGTAACTCCCAGGGTGGGGGAAAGGAGGTGGGCGCTTGGGGGGTTTCAGAACTGGAGGAGCAGGGATGGCAACCCTAGAACACTAAAAGCCCTCGCAAATATATATTATTTTAAATTAAAGCGAAATAAAGCTCAGAAATAGAAATAAATGACTTTAAAAATTATTTTAAGATGTTTGAGGAAAGTTCTCGGGTTATTAACGAAGTACTGATTAAAATTTTAAAATGTCGTGTTTTCTACCCTGCACTCCACTCCAGTTCAAATCACTCCATTTCCACGGTGCTACGGAACGGAAGGTACGTACATTTTCTGTAATTTTAAGATATTTGCTGTAATGTCATTAACGTATCGTTACTTTCGTCTCAAGTTGCATTTTATTCAATATTAATAACCCTATGTGTTCGAGTCATGTTCACATGTTTCCTTCATTATCAATCATAGCCTATCTGTTGGAAGCATGCTTTCTCACAAGGTTAACTCTTTTATAGTAAGAGCAAGAGTAACCGAATCTAGGCTTGAAGTTGAATGGAAAAGGATAGAATGGAGTCTGCCGCATTCATATAGGTTGCGTGTAACGTGTGTTATGGCTTCTTTGTTTCCCTATTTAGGTTTCAGAGCGATGCACTCAAAGCGTAGAGGATCTGAGGATGAGGCTAGAGAGGAATCCTTGGTACCGAAGAAAAGAAATGGAAAGAGATACTTTACACGGGCATCAGGCAGCAGCATTGTCAAATGTGAAAACTGTGGAATGTGTAGCACAAACACAAACGACGAAGCCAGCTTCAAATGATTCCCTCACACGGATGAAAACCGGTATGTATAAGTCAATATAATTTGTTCACTCTTTTCATTCCAATGTTATTCATGTTGTAATGAAGTATACACAGTTCACAAGTTGTAATTTCAAGTGGCGATTGACCAATCTGGATAATCTGTTCAATATAACATTCAATTCGATGCATCCGTGAGCTGTGTCTACTTGGGTAATAATGTGACATTATTCTGTTCAAGCCCGTATAGCATTAATCGTTCAAGCATAACTTGTGTGCTGGCATCAAGAGTATGTTCCTACAGCCGGTTTGTTGGTTGATAAATTAAGCTGGTACTTGTCAAGATACTGTTCTGATCAAAATTTCAGTGCACAAGTTATGGCTGGATGTGTTGCCATCCTTTTCACAGCTGGGTAAGCGGTTTGATGTGTAGCAAGTGCCACTTTTAATGGAACTTATCGTGAAATAGCATACGCCAGTGGTGCTCCAGATGGTTTTATTTACTGCTTCATTTGAGTGCAGCTGATATGTCATAAAAGATGTTCTATCAATGTGAAAAAGTATGTAATCTGTCTGCAAAAGCCTAGAATATACAGAGTAAGACACTTAGTAATTCTTTAACAAGACTTCTCTTTGGTTTCTTTCATTTATTAGGTTCTTATATGGCTTCTATAGCACAGAATATGCTCTGATGCCTTGGATGGTTTTCAATGCCTGTCTTGCTTTCTGCATTAATTTCTTTTGACGCTTTTGCTTAAAGCCTCTTAACTTGTGTTTTTGTTTGCTCTGCTTGGTTTGCTAATACTCTTCTTTTTATCTGTTAGCCCTCTTCTGCCATGCACGCACAGCAGTTAAATATTTCTTTTCACTTAATCTCCCGTTGTTTTTTATTTCTAGGTACAAATTGTGGATTAATTTGTGTCAAAGTTAAACTGCTGCAGCTGAAGAAGTTTAGCAATAAATAGGTGTGTGCTAGGCGCTTTGGTCCCGATGATTTGCATCCTAGTGGGCAGCACAAGTGCAATGCTGTTCCAAGCATGAGTGAACATTACAAGACCTGCACTGAATTTGAGGCCAGAGGAAACAATTATTCCTGTAGGTTTTCCTTTTGTTTTCTCAAAGCAACAAAGAGAAATGGGCTGTGGTAGACTTTTTAAGTAATCTTTTCTTGTATGTCTAGGCTCTTCTTCTGAATCTTCTGGTCAAGACAACATTTCTGTATTCAAACACAATTCTGGTGCTGAACATGCCTGTAATTGTGGTAGGTTCTAAGAAATATGAATTGCCATTTCTTTTATGCACTCAAAAATTAATTTATCTTTTTATTTATCCAGGCTTAATGGAATCCCACCCAAATGAAGGAATGGATAATGTTGATGACAGCGAAAACAACGACAACAATTCTTTTGACATGGGAACGGACACATTGAATGATCATGTCGTTCCAGACCCCATCCATTTTGCCCTGCTGATTATGATCAGTTGAATGTGCCTGGGTCACTTGAGTGCATGCTCGCAGGTAGACCGTTACAAGTGCTTTCTTGGCGAGTGCATGCCTCTGAGCGCATACATGCAACATGCAGTTGTAAGTGTGTTCATGATCACAACTATGTACTTTTATGTACTTGCAAGCATGCACTCACAATTGCCAGGAAGAAGCACCATTTAGATAGACGCAAATTGGATCGCTAGGACACTAATCTTTGACTGAAGAAAGTGTCGCTGCGAGCACTGCAAGAAGACAACTTTCAATTTAGAGTGTTCATGCCATAGCTGCAGTCTTCCCCTGGTGGCAGAAGGCTTCGCACTTTTGTGTGCCTGTCGCGGCTAATAAATTTATAAGATGTGTCTGAAACAGCCGTTTAATTAATAAAAGAATGTTATCAAAAAGAATATATGAACATTGTTTTCTCAATCCCTTTTCAAAGAATTAAGGACATAAACTCTTATCCATCCAAGTAAACACCTCAAAATCTTGGCCCAAAGAATACTTAAAGGAGAGTTTACAAACATGGAGATGTTTACAAAAGCTTGTGTACAAACATGCAGACTACATTTACCAAAGTTTGTTTACAAACAAGCAGACGATGTTTACAAAATTTAGTAAACAAAATAGCAGACAGTATGTTTTGTTTATTGTTTATATTTACTTCAGCAGACGACAACCCGATTCCACCAACCTACAAGCAAAAACGCTTGACAAAATTTGAAAAGGTCTAAATTGGGTCTAAACTAACTTGCTATGAAATAATTTTGTTTCATTTACGCCTCCTTTCATTTTATACGCATTATTCTATCAAAAATACGTCAAATATCGATAAATAGCTCCGTTGCAGATTTGCCCCTAACACGGGAGGATTTTTGTTTTTAGCCCGTGTCACGTTGGCGCCCTGCTCCTCCAGTTCGGTCAAATAACAGAATCCTATAAGGCCGGAGTTACCACGCACTGCCGCGGACCGCGAGCGGCCTGCTCGCCTCGCCCAAGTCCGTTTTCCCGGCGAACGAGGCGAACTATGGCAACGCTAACTACACGCACTATATATTCGCGAGGCCGCGGCAGTCATCATCCTTTAGACCGCCGCCAGGACGACGGCGGGAGCCGCTAGGATCGGAGCGAAACCCAGCGGAGTGCCGCCGCGGGTTCAAATCCCCTCCAAAAATATCTTTTTTCCTTTTTTGTTTGTTTTTACGTTTGCCTGTTAGCGCCCATCGGTTGGGCCGATCGAGTGTCGGGCAACACGGGCCGGGACACACGGCTGCAACGGGCCGCGCAGCCTCGGCCACAAAGGAGCGAAAACCGGAGCACCCCCCCCCCTTTTCCTCCACCTCTCCTTCGGACCGCGCGCGATAATCGCCAGCCGGCTGTAAGTTGGCTGTAAGCATGCAAACAGGGCGGGGCGGGGCGGGGCGGGGCGGGGCGGGGCGGGGCGGGGCGGGGCGTGGCGTGGCGGGGCGGGGCGGGGCGTGGCGGGGCGGGGCGGGGCGTGGCGTGGCGTGGCGGGGCGTGGCGTGGCGGGGCGTGGCGTGGCGGGGCGTGGCGGGGCGGGGCGTGGCGTGGCGGGGCGTGGCGTGGCGGGGCGTGGCGGGGCGGGGCGGGGCGGGGCGGGGCGGGGCGGGGCGGTTGGCAGCCAATCTGAGCATTCCGCGTGGCGGCGTGGCGCGAGGCGTGGCGTGCCGCGCACGGAGCATCCTTGGCCCGGCCACTATTACGCGGCGGCCGATCGGTGCGATCAAAGGAGTGAGCAAGCCGCCCCGCGGGAGTACGGCGAGGAGGCGGGGAGTGGGGGCAGCGACTCCAGAAAACCACATCGGCCGGCACGGCCGGCACGCATAGCGCGACGCGGCGCACAGTGGGCCAGAAGACCGGTGGAGGCGGACAAAACTCTAGACGCGTTTTGAGCTCCAGAGTCGCTAAATGGGACTCGAACCGAGCGTGTGACCCCACCAATGGATATCTCTCCGAACAAGGAATCCATTGGTGGGGTCACACGTCCGGTTCGAGTCCTGCTTAGCGGCGCTGGAGCTCAAAACGCGTCTAGAGTTTTGGCCACCTGCGCCGGTCTTCTGCCCCACTGTGCAGCTCTAGGCCGCGCGGTGCATTCCTGGGGTGGACCGCGAGCACCGCGGGAAATGCGCCCCCGGCCCCGGCCTGCCAGTGGCCTGGCAGAGCACCCAGCCTGCCGGTGGAGGCGGTGGCGGTGCTGGAGGTGCTGGCCGAGGCCGTGACAAAGGCGACGTCCATTCTGCTGTCGCCCTGGACAGTGTGCACGCAGGGCGAGGCGGCCGCGCGGCATTTTGGACGCGCTTTGGCTCGCTTTGCTTCGGGCCGTGCTTTGGGCCCTTGCGGCCCTGGGGCCCTAAATCGCCGGCCCGGCGGCCGGAATGCCCCGTCCAGGCCGTCCAGGCCGTCCAGGCCCAGCTGTCCTTTCGGGCGGGCCTCGGACCCTCGGACTTCGCACGGCCGGACGCGTCACCGGCACCGCCGGCCGGACCGCGCGACGTAAGGCCGAAAATTAATTCAAAATAGCAGGGAAAAACGGCGAGCGGCCAAAAAATGGTTATTAACATATCATGCGATTCAATTCTGCAGGCCGCCGCGCCGCGCCGCCACACTCCGGCACCGAGACCGGCACCTGCCCGGCCCAGGCATCGCTCAGCTTTGACGCGCGGCGAGACGCGGCGATAACGATCGGCCGAAATAACCGGCACACTGATTCCGAAAGGTCGCGCTGTCTCTCTCGCACTCGCGCAGCGCCTCGCGGCGGTGCGAGAGAGACAGCCGACCCTTCGGGCTCCGGGCGGCCGCCATTTTATTAACCCGTGATCACTTCGGGGACTTTTATCCTAAACGGCTGGTAAACTGACCGGAGCATCGCCACCTAAAGTGTTGGCCGATTAGCCCGGCGGCCCGACCCGCCCCAAAGGGGCCCCGAAGGGGGCTGCAGCGGGGGGCTCGGCTTCCAAGTAAGGTCGCGTTCGGGTGCCCCATGAGGGGCATCGAGCAACGCACGGCACAACGCACAACGCAGGAAATTGGTGCAGCGTTTAGGCTGCGAACGTTGTACAGCGAGGGCTCTCAAAGGGCTCTTACTTTAATTCCACTGTAGGCCCCGCGCTGCGCTGCGCGCTCCAGCGGCCGCCTGCCGGTTGAACACACAATGCGATTCATGAGCGCCTCGCACTTGTCTGGCCCTCCCCGCCGCTCCGTCTCTGTCGCACTCACGTGGTGCGAGAGAGACAGAGCGACGGAACGATCCTTCGCCATCCAGGGGTCGCTTCCGTGAACCCATTCCGACGGGGTATGTGTAAGTACGCCGCGCATGTGTCGGCAACACACAACGCCCGGCGCGTATCTGATGAAACACCTCCCTCCGAAAGGCCTGGAAGCGCCGCGAAGGGGCCGCGGGGGCCAAGGGGGGCCCAAGGGGCAGACTCCCCAAATTGGGAGCGTTTCATTGGCCGCGACAGAAACACGCGGTGATTGTGAGTGGCCGCGCTAACCCGATCATTAGCCAAGGGGCGCCCCGGAGTACCTGGAGCCCAGCGCCGCGGGGCACGGCCTGGGCATACGGCCGGGGCACTCGGGGCACGGGGGTAAGGCTGGCCCGGCGTTTCGGCCTTCGCGCTCTGTCTCTCTCGCACTCGGGCGGGGCGCCCCATGAGTGCGAGAGAGACAGAGCGACGGCACCTATGCGCGGAATCACAGGCGCAGCACAGTGGGCCAGAAGACCGGCGGAGGCGGACAAAACTCTGGACGCGTTTTGAGTTCCAGAGTCGCTAAGTAGGGCCCGAACCGAACGTGTGACCCCACTAATGGATTGCTCTCCGAATCCATGACTAAAAGCAGCGACTACTATAACAATCAGAAAGTGCCTGGCTTTGCCAGAACACGCAAGTTTGCCTCTAATTTTCCTCCTTCCAACGGATTTCCCCTCTACCACCGGAATTGAGAAATTTTGCCCGTTTTCGCTGCGAAGTCGTTTGGCGAGTGCCCCACACTGGCGGCGCGAGGCACCGCCATTCCGAGAAGCCTCGCTCGGCCGCTGCAGACGTCGCTCCGCCTCTCTCGCACCCACACGGGACGCCCCATGAGTGCGAGAGAGACGGAGCGACGAAAACGACGCTCGGAATCAGTCTGCCGGCTTGGCCGGCCTGGCGGCCGCGATGTGCGGTTGTGCTCCTCCATGCGCGCATCCCTACTCGAAAAGGGGGGGGGGGGGGGGGTAATCATGGGGGTTCGACTGGTGGTGTAAGAGGTGGGTGCCAGCAGCGCCCCGCGCCGCCCCGGGCAACAGCCAGGCTCCGGCATAAAATGTCGATAAAATTCATAGGGGTAGCTAGCGTGGCGTGGCTGCGGATAGCGCGTCGCCCCACAGTGGGCCAGAAGCCGGCGGAGGCGGCCAAAACTCTAGACACGTTTTGAGCTCCAGAGTCGCTAAATGGGACTCGAACCGAACGTGTGACCTCGCCAATGGATTGCTCTCCGAACGAGGAATCCATTGGTGGGGTCACACGTTCGGTTCGAGTCCCATTTAGCGACTCTGGAGCTCAAAATGCGTCTAGAGTTTTGGCCGCCTCCACCGTCTTCTGGCCCACTGTGCGTCCGGCGCCCTATGACGGGCACGATGGGCACAGGGCGCGTCGTCGGAGTGCTGCCCAGCCAGCGGCACCGCACTGCCAGTGGCGGAGCCAGATGCACTATACTCACAACAGTTGACACACCGTTTCGCTGCTCGCAGTGCAAACACTGCGCAATTTCCGTTCCGCGCCAATGCGTGGCAATGCGTGGCAATGCGTGCTAAAGACCGGCCGAGACTGTTCCTAATGCTCGGCAATCGCCGTGTGGGGCGGAGTCCTACATAAACATTAGTGTCCGCGACAAGTGCGGTGCGCGCAACACCGCTAATTGGACGTACAGTGTAGTACGCACTTTCGCAAAGCAACCGGCCGACGGTGTAGTGGCGGAGTCGCGCCGCCAGGCCCGCCAGGTGACCGAGAGGCCCGAGACGCAACGGACAGGTGAATCACACTTGAGATTACAGTGGGACGTGCCCGCGGCAGCCCGAGGCTCGAGAAGGGGTTGTTGTTGTTGTTGCCATCGGCGTAGCCAGCGCGTTGCTCGGACGAGTGAGTTTCCAGCTCCGCCACCACTACACCTGCAGCCTGGACGGACACGCCCCGGCGACTCCCCCCCTCCCCCTCCCCCACCCCTGCCGGTCCATCCTCGGACCCTCATAACTATGTCATTTCTCAGTTCAACCCTTTTATTTATGAAATCCCCTCCCCCTGCTTTTTATTATTCGAGGTGTCATGATAGAGCATCTGCCGTGTGATTATGCTGGTGGCTCTTGTTTCCCAGTGTGGGCCCGGGGGGCTGTGGTTTAACCGTCGCC